AAAAAAAAAAAAATAAATGCAAGGAGATGGAGGTCCTGCTGCTGCAGGCAGCACCACGGCCAGCACCCCTCCATGCAGCAGATCCATCCAACACTGGAACCATCTGCTGCATGTTTCCATAGCAACACCTCACCAGCTTCAAACTGTGGGGTCAGACGGTTAGATGGTCATCAGTGCAGCTTTGGAAAGCAGGAGGTCAGAGACGGAGGCGGCGAGCAGCGAGCGCGGGGCCGCTAAGGGGAAAATAAAAAGTGGGTGTCTCCAGTAGCTCAATAAACGTATTCAGATCCAAACTGAACACGTTTCTATCAACCTTCTGCTTCCTATGGCATCTCTGCACTCGTTAAAATAATAAACTGTTTAAAAAGAGGGAAGAATCGTCCCTCAGTCAGAGTCCGCACTCTATGAGCATTTAGGCTAACACTGCGCTGCAGAAGGAAAGCTGCTCTGACTCCATCCTTCCTTTCCTCTGCTTTCTCTGGAAAAGGACCGATTAAAGAGAAAGGGACTTCCTGGGAACGCGGCACTGAACAAATGCTAGAAAACATAGCGGCTCACCTTTGAAGCGCTCCAGCAGGTGGCGTCCCACATACCAGCACGCCGTCTCAAAGTTGGGGAACGGGGTGAGAGTCTTCACCTTCAACCTCTTCTCGATTTCATACGCTCTGAGGAGAGGAAGCATGTCGGGTCACCAGCAGCTAGCATACATCACAGCAGGGTTAGTTAGCTCATTCAGAACCATGTAAGTGCTCGCTAACTGGGGTTAGCTAGCTCATTCAGAACCATGCAAATGCTCGTTAACCAGGGTTAGCTAGCTCATTCAGAACCATGCAAATGCTCGTTAACCAGGGTTAGCTAGCTCATTCAGAACCATGCTAGTGCTTGCTAACCGGGGTTAGCTAAATCATTCAGAGCCATTCTAGTGCTCGCTAACCGGGGTTAGCTAGCTCATTCAGAACCATGCTAGTGCTCGTTAACCGGGGTTAGCTAGCTCATTCAGAACCATGCAAATGCTCGTTAACCGGGGTTAGCTAGCTCATTCAGAACCATGCAAATGCTCGTTAACCGGGGTTAGCTAGCTCATTCAGAACCATGCAAATGCTCGTTAACCGGGGTTAGTT